ATCAGGGCTATAACTCTCAAAACGACCGGTCGGGTCGTTATAACTAAGTCCGCGCATTTTATTCCAGTTGGTACTAATTATTCTTCGGAGCGGTTGGCTGAGATTTATATCCGCGAGATTGTTCGCTACTAATATTTGTGTTAGGGTAGACTGTCTACATCACACCTTTTGGGATATGACTTTTCCTCCTACTCTGCGTGAATATGGGATACATTGTGCACCGGGCTGCTCTTTCTTTAAAAAAAATGAAATATATAAACGGCTCATATAAGTTGTCCCAATAATCAACTAAACATCTCAACTGAGCCTATTTTCAGTTAAACACTTCAAGTGACAATAAATGTATCACGTAAATACCCGATCTAGTCAACCCACACAGCGTGTAATACACATTCGAAGACTATTTTAAGAACCAATTAATATTTGACACGTGGCTAACAATAAGAATTAAAATTAATGAAAACAAAAAAAAAGTAATAAAATGCGTCAAAGTTAGTAATGACAAGCCCACACGTGTAAATAAAAAGCTAAAACAAAACCATATTTAATTTGAAAAGAAAAGAGGATCTCTCACCCTTCGTCCAAACTCTATGCCCCACCCCCCAACTCCCACCTCACTTCTCTTCTTCTTCCAAGCCCTCCCCCACCACCCGTACCCCTGTTGTTCTTCTCCTTTGCTTACCCCCATTTTCCCCTCTTCACCTTTGTCTTGAGCTTGTCACTAAGATGACTATTTATTCAAGAATTTATGTTGTAATTCAAACAAAACAACAATAACCCATTTCTTTTTATTCAGTTTTTTTTGTTTTTGATTTAATTACTTTTTTTAGCAGCTATTGAAATACACAACTCATCTGGGACGAAAATTGAGTGTAAACCAAAATATTTTCCGCTGAAAAAGAGTGAAATCTCCATTTTTTCTGCTGAGAAATAGTGCAAGTCAAAATAATTTAGTTTTCAGCATCAATTTTTATTTTTTAAAATATTTTTGCCTTTGAAATAGGTCTAATGATTAAGGTGGCAGTGAATGGAGTTTAGTGGCGTTTTTGGGTGTGTGTACATATATTAAATTGTGCGTAAATGGTGGATAAGGAGAGGGTCGGCCATGGAAGTAGGGAAAGAGAAGAGAAGTGTTCTAGGCCACAAAAAGACACGCGCTAAAACTTTTGGTAGAACACACGCATATGCCAGGTCAACTAAGGGAACTTAAAAGGATTATTTATGTATTTCGCCTTTAAAAAATATCAATCAATATTCATTTTAATTAGAAAAGAAATCCACAAAGATATTGTTATAGTAAATCCATTGCAGCTTTCAAAATTCTTCTACTTCCCATACCCACGGCCACACTTTTGATTAATGACGAAAGGATCTCATTTATTACAGTAGTATACTTGTGGGTGGTCATTAAAATGATTATTTTTTCGCTCAAAAGTAGAGAGGTATATGTATACAATTGAATATACAAAGTGGGAGAGGTTTCAATTTTATTTTATTTTTTTTGGTACACTAGAAAATTCAAATCCCTTCACTAGGAAACATTAAATGTAGCATTCAAAGAGTTATGACTTATGACTAGTCTTCACTCTTCACCAAGGGAAAAGTCGCAGTTTTCTGGGAAGTTAATTCAATTTTGAATCATTAATGCCGATATTAAAAGCCATTTAATGCGAATCTTCAGAACATTGTTTGATTATATAGTTGCCTAAATTTTTGAATGTGAGTTTCAGCAAATTTTGAAAATGAGTTTCAAATTTGAAAAATGGGTTTTATCTCTTTTTCAAGTAAATAATATTTTTCTCTCGTAAAATTATAATATTTGTTCAAATATAATTTCAATTTTAAATAACTTTTTTCAATTTGACTTCAAAAACTATTTTTTTTTCAAATCTCATATTTTTTATATCCAAACGCATACTTAAGGACTCTTTTTCTCTTGGACCTTAAGCCAGAGGGGAATTACCGAATTAGGCACCGTACACCTTATTCGTGTCTTTAGCTTTACCTAGCATTTAATTTCTTAATTAATTGAGACAGCAAAAGTGAGGTGAAGTTAATTCCTCGCCTGCTCATGTATTTTTTTTGGGTTTCTCACTCAGTGTCCGGTATTTATATTAGGAGCCGATTAAATTCGAATTCGCGTCTGAAAAATCTTACATTGAGGGTAAAGTGCTCCCTAACAAAGGTGATTTCATACCGAGAAACTCGAATCCGAAAACTTTGATTAAAGATAAAGGAATACTTATCACTCCACCACAACCTATTGGTTGCTCATGTATTCATGTTAATCCATATCCACACACAAACAAATCTAAAGTTCTGCCTTTACCCTCATTCCCCTGCCAAAAAGTACAAAAACTTCACTCTTTTCCTCACTGCAATTCTGAACAATGCGAACTCCTAACTTTCTTGCTCGACTTTATGAGTTTTTCTTTTAACTTGTTGGGATCAGAAAATAAGTTATCTCAAGATTATAATGATGGAATTATAACATGTCAAAATAATAATAATAGAATTATTTTATGAATATATTTTTATTGGTACGTGTTCGGTTCATTGAACTAAACATGGGATATACGAGGTATAATATAAATATGTATTTGGTGTATCTTAGATAAGTTGGATAGACTTTCATTTTCAATTTTAACCGTTTAATGGCTTGGGGGAAGAGCTTTGGAGAAAGACATCTCTGTTATTTTAGTGTATTTAGGGGATTATTATCTCACCATTAATGTGGTATAGAATAATACTCAATTATGCAATTACTTAGTCGTCGAATTGCTAATCCCCGATTCAAAAACTTAACCAAACGCGCGATAGAATAATTCTGCATTTAATTTCAAGATTATTAGCTTAGGAAACGACCCCTTTGGATACCCAATCATATTTTCATGGTAAATGACGATACATCTTACTCCCTCTGGTGCTTTTAAATGTAGTTTTTGGCTCATCTATTGAGAAATTTATTCAATAACATTAATTATAGAGATTATTTAATTAAATTACCATTTATCTCTTTAAAATAAGTATTTATTATAGAGAGAGTCTTTAAAGAATTGTATTGTTCATTTATTGGATTCTAAATGTTACTGTCATTCTTTTCAAAGGCAGTTTGGAAGTTTCGTACATAGATTCAACCATAAATCTTAGTATATCGGTGATTGACACAATAATGGGTCTGACTTAGTGATCGTGCAGCAACATCTGCGCCGTGCTTAAAGAAGCAGTACGTATTAATGGACAAATTAACCAAAGGAAAAAAGGAAACGTAACATGGGAATTAGTTGTAGAACAATAATGTCAAAAGTTAACTCACCCCTTATTAAAGCCCACTCTCGAGCAAACAAAAGTCAAATAAAGATGATTGATCATATGCAAATTAAACTCCATCCGATTATTATTGAAACCTTAGGAGGAATCATATATTCAGGGAGTTGCATTACAAAATATTGCATTATTAATGTAATCTTGATACAATATATAATTGTAGTTGGAACGGTCGGTAGCTGCTTAGTCTCATCCGTCTTAGATTGAAAATATTGGACAAAAAAGGAAAACAAGTTGTCCAGCCTTTCAAGCCCTACCAAATAAAGGACATGCGTTGTTGGCTGCTTTAACTTCACTTTTGCTCAACGTTGATCCTGCCGATTCAGGAGTTTAGGCCCAAGCGATAGTAGTTTCCTATTTGGGGTTGGCACACGTAGGCCTGATATCAGAGGTTGGTTATCGCATTCGGTAAGCATTCTGCTAGCTGATGTTTTAACCATGAATATATGATATATATGTGTCTGCACATATAATGTTATCACTATAGTTAATTAATAAGTGTTACTCCCTCCGTTTCACTTTAGACGAGTTAGTTTGATTCGGCACAGAGTTTAAGAAAAAAAAAGATTTTTGAAATTTGTGTTCTTAAAAGTTTAAGGGGTAAAAGTTTTGTGTGGCCATGACATTTGTGTAGTGATAAAAGTTTCTCGTTAAGGATAAAATAAAATGTTTAAAATTAAATTATTTTCAATTGTAGAAATATGTTATTATTTTTAGAACAGACTAATAAGAAAAGTGCGTCACCTAAATTGAAACAGAAGGAGTGTATATTTTCATCCAAAATTATTACTTAACCATGATATCTCTTAATAATTTTATACATATACAAGTTTTTATCCAAAACTAATGGGAGATATATTAATTTATTGTTACTTCGAAAGGAAAAGAGTAGTACTTAGTAGTTGTAGTAATTACTACTACAAATGAACATTAAATGGAGCTACGTAAAGGAGCTAAAAGGTCTAAGGAGTAGTAATGGAAAAATGTGCATGCAATAAATTACAACTGCGTTGTAGTGTCATTATTAGCTTTTAATGCCGCCATTACTAACACCCCCCC